ATAATGACACTAATCAACAAAAAAATTCACATAAATTATTTGATTTTTTTATTATCGTGAAAGTGCTTGTTTATCATTCAAAATATTATGAAGTAAACAAATTATCATTTTAATGATCGATTGAGACCTGCTGAAATCTTGTTTATTTATTCTGTTCAAAATTTAATGTCATATTAATTATTCATATATGAGAAGAATTTCTTTTTTTTTCTTAAAAAAATTTTTCTAAAGATCATTCTCACTCTATGTGAATATTAAAATCATTTGTGAGATTTCGAAAGTATGAAATTGAGTTCTGAAACGAACAAATTTCATTCAAACTATAATTATCAAGTTTCTATAAAATATGAGCAAAATAAATCTCAATTGAGGTACAAGTTAAAATCGTTTGATTGCTCTAAAACTAATCTCTATTCAGAAAGTAGTCGAGTTGGTAGTTATCATTTTTTTCAAGTAAAAAAGTTCAGACAACTTGAAATATTGTTTCTTGGATAAAGGTATATGTTTTGAGTGTAAATCAAATCATCATTGAATGTAAGAATTTACAATTTCTTCATAAGAGTTTCTATTGTTTTGGAAATGAAATGAAAAGAAACGAACATGATAAAATATGTTTTAATGCAATTGTAACCAAATCTCTATCTAGATGAGTTTGATTACGGTTGATAAACATTTTAATCTTATTAGTGTTATCTTTTTTTGAGTGACTCTATTTATGAGTTGATGGTGCAAGACCAATACTTCATAATAAAAGGGTATAAAAAGACAATAAAATCATTTCATTCTCTATTAATAACTTCTTTAGAACTCATTTTAGTATAAGAAAATTTTTACAATGAATACCTTCTTCACAATTGTATCTCTAGTCGCTACCTATATTGATTGGTACGAACCAATTGAAAATATACAAAAAAATAAATCTAGTATTCTATCGAAATATCTTTCATAGGTGTGGCTCAATGTAATAATGGCACACAAATATTTGCCGAACGAGCTAGCTCCTATTGCTATTATTGTTCGAATTGTCCGCGACCATTCACTACTTTCAGTTCATCTGTTACGCAAGTCCCTTCAAATACGGGTTGGTGTACTGTAAGTTAACTTAATTGAAAGATTTTCTTCGATCTTGATCAATTAACTATTGACTATATTTTTAGATGATGAGCAGTACAAGTTCACTTGATGGGATTTATACTCGAGGCATTGCACAACCAGATCTCTGCAGTTCTACTGGATGTTCATGGAAGATGGTCGGTCGAGTTAATACATGGGTTTGTTGTTGTAATCAAGATTTATGTAACGCATATGTTCCAAAAGCTTGTTACTATGGTTCAAATTGTCCACGACCATTCAGTCCTTACAGTTCATCTGTACGGACTATCGATTCAACTACAGGTGGATGTGCTGTAAGTTTGTTTCTTTCTATAGCTTATAGAACATGATCAGTATGAAACAATGAATCTATTTGTAGAAAATGAGCACAACGAGTTCACCTGATGGAATTTATACTCGAGGTGATGCTCCACCAAATGCCTGTAATTATAATGGTTGTTCATGGAAGCGGGTCAATGGAATTAACATATGGGTTTATTGCTGTAATCGATATCAATGCAATACCGGTATTTCTACATCAAAATCGACTGCTAGTCTTTTGATTATCGCATTAATGATCATTAACATGAGTTTTACAAGCTTTTAATGCTCTTTTTATTATGACTTTTCTAATACTTTACTTAATAAATTCGATATATGGGTTATATTGATTTTGTTTTTAACTAACTATATATCAAAGATCTATCTCAGTCTATTTAAACAGAAAATAATTATCTTGTGAGGATGAGGGTGTGGAAGAAATCAATATCCTTACATACACCCACAACCCATATTTTAAATGAAACAGTTCAGGAATACATAAATGTAAAAACTAAGCAGAATTAAAGTTCTATGGATTCATGTTTGTCTCAGCAGAGCTTACACAGTTGATTTCCACTGTATGCTGTTTTAGCATTTCTCGATGTAGTTTACACTTGAGAAATCGTTGAAATACATACTGATTCGAGAAAAACGAGAAATTGATCAATTAAAAGAAACGTTTTCAATCATTAATTATTTATTTTCAATCAAAAAATCCGCCATATTCATAGTTAGCAAGAAAAAACAAAATATAAAATGAGATGAAGAAGAAACCTTTTGTTATTCTATTTCTTGTGGGTGTGGGTGTAAGTAATATCAGAAGATCTAGATCAACACCCACACCTTCTGTGAAGAAAAAATCGTTTGAACTGATATTTTTGGCTAGAATTTTCGAGATTTTGCATCACTATACATATACACACACGTCTCTCTTATTGAAGGTGCCATGAAAATGTTTATCACACACATCAGCACATATCTCTCTGCTGAGAGTGTTCGAAAATCGTGATTCCACATTCCTTGCTGGATGAATTTGTTAGAATTTGGATGAAAACCTTTGAATTTTTCATTTAGGATTGAAGAAATAGTTTTCAATAAGTGTTAAAGCATCTGATTTACTGAATTTGTTGTGCTTACAATGGCAATATCGTCCATGTGAAATTTTAATTTAAAAGGCGACTATAAGGATCTGATCGGGGAAAGGAACATATGTGGGTTTGTAGAAGAAAACTTCCTCTACCCATTTGCATACTTATTATGCAATTTTGTTTTGTACTGTAAAAGAAAATTAGACTAAAAGATATGAATTTGATACTTTTTAAAGAGATCCTTTTGTACTAAAATCAGAATAGTACAGAATCAAACCAAAACCTAATCCAATCATGTGTATATCGTTTGACAGTTCACGCTGTTTACTTTTTGCAGTCCGTCCCACTCTTGTTGATAGTCGAAGTATGATGTAAATCATAGGAATATGAAAATAAAATTCCAAATATTCTTGATGATGCTATGAGAAACAGTATTTATTGTTTTGCGATCGGCATTCCGAAACAGGGCTCCTATGGGATGGGACGATCTTCTTGTCCCATGAGATTTTTCTCCTCTGTTCTCATGTATTATATCACCATTGTTGGTCTTATCCTTCGAAACAAATAGGCTCGTTGCGGACTTTTCTTCACACTATATAGTTTCTATTTTTTTTCACACACTCTCCCGTAACTATTGGTTATATAGATAAAAAGACATGGTTAAAAAAAGTCTTTAGTTCAAACAAATTTTCAACACAACTTTTTATAAGTTTTTGTTTAAAAGGAAGTAATCAGAGATAGCAGATTCTGCTGATTCCAGGTATCATAGATTTGAATTGAGTCCATAAAGATCTAAAGAAATCCATTAGAGTGCGCCATAGTATGAAATCAATCTTTAGTAATTCTCACTAATCTGAGAAGACTAACAAAACTCATCAGAAGCTGATAATTCATAAATACAAAATGTACTGAAGAGGAAACGCTATTATTGCCTAATGCGCAGAGGCACGGAAGTGAAACTCTTTAAGAGAAAAAGTAGAGATAAGGTCTAGCGTAGTCCAGTAAATTTAGGCATATCTTAATGAATTTCGATGAAATCACTATCATATTCTTTTGAGTTTGCCAAGATTCTAAATAAACTGGTCTAAATATGAACAGTTGAGACAACTGAATAAATGGTCATTAAAGTCGATTCACGCTTTAAAGAGTCTTTTTTACTAGACGAGGTATTCCATCCCATTAGGTCTCCTGTTCCGAAATATATTTAAAATTCTCAGCATTTCACAGATTTTTTCACCTTACAAAATGATATATAGACTGGTCCTGTACGAGTTTATATGAAGTCTAGTCATATTTTATTGAAGCATAATAAGCTAAAATTACATTTGTCACATATTGATAATATGCTCTTTGATAGTAAAGAAACGCAAACAGTCGAGAACGACTGTCTAAAATGAGATACTTAAACAAGACTAAAGAAGTAGGTAAGCTTTCTATTTATTCTAAATCATCTTTAGACATAGATGTCATAGGAGAAATAGATGAATGTATATATATATATATATATATATATATATATATATATTCTTGTATTTCAATGACGATGTTCATAGATATAAAAAATATTGTTATACAATAAAGGAAAATGTTGTTAACAGATGAAGATTCAACGGATAATGAATCAGCAAATGACGAATTGACAGATGAACAACGGTCAGAAAGTAATATCAATAGTGAAGATGCTAGTGAAAATGAACCTAGTCGTAAAAAAGACTCAAAAATTGTTTAGTATTAGTATTAATTCACTGTATCTGATGACCTTTGAAAATATTTTGTTGTATTGTAACATTTACTCTAAAAGCTTCTGTGTATTGTGGTCAAATTCTTAATAAAAATTCGAAAAATAGCAGTGAAATAAGCTCTAAATCGCAATGGTCTTTTAAGTCAAGCATACTTTCAGATTATTATACGTCAATAAAAGATTACTAAATTTGAGGTCTAAATATTTGGGTATATGTCTGAAAACATTCTTTCTACAAAATGAGATAATTTTCATTAAAATCTAAAACTTTTGATTGGAGACAATGACCGTGATCCTTATGCAATGACTCTTATGTAAGATATCTGATGGGTACAGTATACAAAACTTTTCATGAACAATTTTTTTATTTTAACTCAAGTCAGCGTTAAATTCTCTATTGAATGGTATATAAACTGAATATTAAGTCATGTGAATATTCTGCCAAAACTCAATCAATCAGATCTTCTACTACCTTGAAACCTATACAGACCAGAAAGATGCTTATATGGTGAAATATAAAAATAAGATGAAACTTATTTCAAACGACCTTTGTTGTTTTCTAATCCTACCAAAATTACTCGAGGCCTCTCTATATCCTATACTATAGTAAAAATGGCAGTATATTGTAATAAGGCTTGTAGGGTCGAACTTCAAGATCTCAAACTTTTGATTACATGATTAAGTAGCACTAAGGTAGTAGTCTTTAAGAAAAAAATTGAGCAAATTCTATCATACTGATCTGAAGAAAGCCTATCGTGAAGATAGTCTAAGTTTTGAGCCTAATATATTAGGAAACATCCTAGTGAAAAGATATCGTGAAAACATTTTAAATGAAAAATTAACACAAAATGAGTTTATTTAATAAAAAGCTATTTTGGGTGCTCTTAGAAGAAATATCATATCTCAGTCAAAATTCATCCTTTTAATCTAAAAATTTGGCTATATGCCTAAAACGTGCATCTCGTGTAATGATTCCTAGATGTGTCATTTCAGATTCATTAAAACGGGTTTTATTATACCGTTTAAAGTATATCTAAAATGTGGATTTATACACGTGTAGATGTTAGAAATTTTCACATAAATAAGCAAACATAGCTAAAATAGTTCATTTCTCATATTGATTTCATTATATTTTGTTCATTGCAAAACATAAAAGGAAATAAGCAAGATATTCTTCTTGTTTTTAATATGTGAGGTAGTATCAGTAGATATGCACGTAGTTTCTTAAAACAACATTTCAAAAATTGTAACGCTTTTATAATTTCTCCTTCAAACTATCTTATTAATTGCAAATGTTCTGTTGCGTTAGGTAACAAAGCATTTGTGTCCGAAAGATCCATAATCAATGTGTTCAATCTACTCATCTCTAGCACAAATCAAATAAAAAAAAGCCTCAATTTTCTCTTATTCATCTACATGTGGCTCCGATTAGAACCATAAAACATGTTTTATGTGATAACATATAAATAGCATTCAAAGATTAATCTATGGTATAAATCATAAATTAATACTTCGAGTGATAAATTTACATAAAAATTGTTTCGATGACATTGCTAAGATTGACTGAAGAGCTAAGAAATAGATAGATTTGTTTCAAAAGATATCAGTTATTAACAACTACTTGAAGTACTTTTTTTTGACATTAAATTTTAGTGTAGCTTGTTCTGATTCACATATTTTAAATAAAAGAGAGAAGAGAGAATAAGAAAAATAATTAAAGAGCATGTATTCAAGCAAAATTAAATTATGAACTACTGCAAAAAAATATTCTCTGTGCGTTATAAGAAACAGATTAAGGGGACCCCCC